AATGCTTCAGAACTAAAAGCAAATAGACAGAAATCTATAGAGATGCAAATATCTTGGATTTATAAAAAATAAAATAAAACCAGATGGATAAGTAAGAACAAACTAAAGTTCTAGCAACAGAAATGGACAAGGACTCCAAAAAATATGAACAAAGTGTCACTGAGCTGCATAAGAGCTGCCAGAGCAAGTGGTGACTGCCTCCTTGAAAGGGTGTAAGGATAAAAAAGATCTAAATGATGTTGCCAAATTTTTCAAATTAACTTAAAAGTATAAACCAAGTGATTCAAAAAGTGCTCACTCTCTTCCCCCACCCCCTTGCTTCCTCTCTCTCACACACACATTTTATACCAAAACCCTCCATCATCAATTCACCTTAAAGCAGAGGAAGAAAACTTTAGGGCTGAAGAGATGGCTCAGTCAGTGTTTAAGAGCACTGGCAGCTCTTCCATAGGACCCACATTGAATTCCCAGCACCCACATGGCAGCTCAAAACTGTCTGTAACTCCAGTTCCAGATGACCTGACACCCATGGCAAAAACACATGAACATTAAAAAGAAAAAAAAGAAAAGAAAAGAAAAAAAAACTTTAAACAATGGGGGAAAATGAAGTCACCAACTGCAGAAACAAGAAATGCAACTGTAAACATACTTATAAAAATATGGATAAGAGAGATAGTTCAGCGGTTAAGAACTTGCTGCTTGCTTTTGCAAAGGACAAGAGTTGAGTTCCTAGTACCTACATGGAAGGTGACAACCATCTGTAACTTCAGGTCTAGGTAATCCAGTGCCTCCTCAGTCACAAGATACATACATGCATGTAGGCAAAATACTCATACTCCTATGTTGTGGGATATTTTGAATATACTCTGACCTTGAATCAAAGGGCAGAGCTAGCTACTGGGGAACCAAAATTGGCCATTGAGGTTTTAGAGGACTCAGGACACACAAAAAGACACAGGAAGTAAGAGGGAAGGGCTTCCAAAAATTCAAAGACCCTTTTGGATTGAAGGAAGGAGGTGGTGAGGGGATGTCACTAGTCACTTCTCTGCCGCTTCTCTGATTAATTAGGTTTTTACCCCAATATCTGATTCCCAAGTATAGAATATAAGTAATCACTTCACACTTAAAAGAAATAAATCTAAAAATAACTACAAACCAGAAGAGAGTTGAACATCATTCTTATAGATCTGAAAAGAACCAGCAAGTCAACTGAGAATTCAATTCCCAGTGAAAAAAAAAGGCATGATTTTATTCACATAGAGGATTCTCTAAAGAGATCTAGAACTTAAATAATCAATCTGGCTCATCTAACAATAGTTGTCTCCCAAAGGAAAGGCCAAGAATCTGGGAGTTATTCAGTCCACAAGACTGGGTGTCTCAGCTGGTCTTCAGTCTACATTCGAATCCCAGAATGATTGGAAGTAACACTCTTAAGTGTTCCTGATAAGTAAGCAGTATTTAAGAACACATCACATGACTGAACATAGTAGTACATACCTTTAATCTCAGCACTCAGGAAGAGGCAGAAGGATCTCTCTGAATTCAAGGTTAGCCTGCTCCTCTACATAGCAGGTTCCAGGACAGCCAGAGTGCTAAGAGGTAGGAGCCTATCAAAAAAAAAAAAAAAAAAAATTACACACATCAGTTTCTATTCCACCATCTAAAAACACAAACGTTATTTATAGCTTAACTAGAAATTTTCAAACTAAGTTGTTAAGAACAACCAACAGTGGGGTCCAGAGTGGTTTTGCATGCTTTTAATCCCAGCACTAGGAAGGCAAAGGCAAGTAAATCTCTGTAAGTTCCACTGTGTCTCAAAACAAGCAAGACCTCTCTCAGAACAAACAAGTCTATTGGTAGCACTGATTAGACTGGTAAGAGGTGGAATGTGGACCCAGGAAATAAAATAAAAATATAGTGCATGAGCCTCTCAAAGATAAAAATACTTTTAAAACAATTAAAAGTTAGACAGAGCATTACAGGACATTCCTGAGAAGTTTCCACTACTCCACCATCAAGGTACCTTCTCAGAATCCAGCGACCTATTTCATTGTCTAGAGACTGAGCTTTGCTCCGCATTTGGAAAACCCATAAAAGGAACACTGAAGAGTATCAAATATCTAATCTCCAAGGTCTTGACAACAATCTTAAAATTCAGAGGCATGGAGGAGCCTAACAGAAACTTTTTAAAATAATTATAATAATCATGAAAAGTGATTTTCCCAGTAGCTGTGAAAGCCTGGAAAAGTTTTGCCCGTCCTTTTCCCAACCCTTTGCTAGCCAATCACAGAGTAAAAAGTTTTTTGAGTAGAAACATGAGAGTCACACTTGGGAAAGAATTCCCCGCTGCAGAGTACACAGACTCTATACAAATGCGGAAAACCTGTTATCCTGAGGGCAAGCCACTTGTTCACTATTATCAAATAGGTCACTAACTTGTAAATTCGCCGCAAACCTGACGCCAAACCTATTCTCACTGGGAAGTACAAGTTTGCAGGGCTGAGGCTGCCGCTCTCACTTTATCTTTGTGCTGGGCTGACATGGGAGGAAACTGCACAAAGGGCAGAAAGTATGGCGATCTCCTTCTTCACACACTGCCACAGAGGGGGCTGAAGACACAATCCTGTCCTATACTGGACCTACGACAGGCAGATATCCTCAGGATCACACAGACGAGAAACTGCTGGGTACGAAAAGGGGTTTTGGGAGCTCTTTTTAACCCTAGCCTGGAAATCTTTCAGAAGGGATCCCCGGGGACATGAAGAGATGCCAGGGTTCCCAAGGGGAAAGGAGACCGAGTGGACGGCCAGCAGACGGAGTGCAGGGGAGTCTCCGGGCCACCAAAGACCCTATCGCCTCAGTCGGCCCTGAGGTCGTACAAAGGGGATTACGCAAAGCGTAGCTGCAAAACGAGACACCCCCTCAGCCCCTGGACCTGGCACTAAATTGTCGCCTCGGTCAGCCCCTTGCTGCTCTCCCAGTTCCTCACCGAGTGCGCCCAGGCTCCTCCATTCGTCCGCGTCTACACCGCCCGCTCCGGAACGCCACTGCAGAGACCCCAGAAGCCCGGCTTGGGGCGGAGCCAAGGAGACTCGGGAGTGGGAGGACCTTCCGGAGCCTGAGCTTTATCACTGGTTCGCCACCCGGGTCCTGGACCGGTTTCAAGCCTTTTGCAGATTTAGGCTCTGGCGGCTGCTATGAGGTTCGGGGAGGTGGGCGGGGAGATTGCACAGCACTCTGTTGTGCACCATGGTTGATCTTAAATCCTCATAAACCACCTCAACCGCCTCAACCTTCCAAGTGGTCACAGGCCTCTCACCCTGTTTAGCTTAGGTGGGGTGAAAATGAAGGAGGCTTCATTTTCAACTTTAACGAATCACTAAAAAAGAGGGATAAGAAGAGCAGTTGTGCTTAACTATAGCAGGAAACCACTTATCTCTGTGAGTCTGGATTTCCCTATCTATAAAATGAGAACTCTGCCCTAATCCTTTGATGTGGTTATAACAGACTCAATAATAAAGAAAAACAATATTGCACATAGTGGGAAAACTGGCGTTTAAGGCGTGACGGCAGCATTTGATGGGAGCCACCTTCTGTTACTCGAATTCCGACCAGAGCGTGCATCCTGGCTACCCGAATGAAACAGCCTTAGCTACTCATCCTCCCACAAAGTTAATAGTGAAAAGCATGCACCTTATCTGAATCCCAGCACTTGGAAGGCAGAGGCAGGTGGATCTCTGTGATTTCGAAGTCAGTCTGGTCTACATAGCAAGTTCCAGGACAGCCAGAGCTACAGAATAGAGGCATCAAGAGAGGGACACAACCAAAATTTAAACCTAACCTTTTCACTGCTCTGATCCACAAACGTTGAGAAAGCCTAAACTAAACAAACATCTCTAGAAATAAACATTGCAGAAGGAAAAATTTATGTGGGAGATCTTTACAATGCACCAATCAGTTCCTGGTGTATTCATTCTCTCTCTGTAGTAGGAGGGTGCTTGTCCATTCCTGGCTGCCCAGACTTTAAATAAACACCCAAAAACTGTATTAATTAAACCACTCTTTGGCCTATTAGCTCTAGCTTCTTATTGGCTAGCTCTTTCATCTTAATTTAACCCATTTTTATTAATCTGTGTATCGCCACGTGGTTGTGGTTTACTGGTTACTTTCTAGGGCATTTGTCCCCGGAAAAGGCTACATGTCAAGATGTCTCTCTGACTCTGCCTACTCTCTGGCCAATTTGTTGGAAGGCTGCTCATTCATTTCCTGGCTGCCCAGACTCCAGAAATAACCACACAGAAACTATATTACTGAAATCACTGCTTGGCCAATCACTTAAGAGTATTGCTAACTAGTTCTTATATCTTTAGTTAACCCATTTCTATTAATCTGTGTATTGCTATGTGGCTGTGGCGTACTGGCAAGGTTCGGGCGCGTCTACATAGTGTCTCTCTGAATCTACCTACTCTTTCTATTTATATCTCTCCCAGCCTGGCTATATTCTGTTAAGCCATTGGCTGAAAGCAGCTTCTTTATTTACCAATAAAAACAATACATATACAGAAGGACCTCTCTCTCTCTCTCTCTCTCTCTCTCTCTCTCTCTCTCTCTCCTCTTCCCTCTCCCCTGTCTGTCTGCTGCCAAAAATACCATACTAATGAATTTATGGAAATATTTCTTGATGTGGTTTAAGATGATACGGTCTATCATGGCATGGAAATAATAATGTGACAATATCTCCATGGTAGCCAGACTATGTACCTGTAAATCTTCACCTTATAGTATGAGGACAGAGAAAGACAGCCAAGAACTGGGGCATGGTTGTAATTCTGAAAGCCTGATTTTCAAAGACCCACTTAACTCTAGCTAGGCCATACCTGCCAAAGGTTTTTCCAGCCCCGCAAACAGTGTCATAAGCTGGACATCACCAGAATAATTCAGTTTTTTTATTTGTGACTCCTTTTGTATAAAAAATTGTTATGCAACCCTGAGAATATACATACGTCTATGAAGTGGGTGTTCAAATGATACATTTATTATTAATAAATCAAAGAAATCCACTGAAAAACAATTTGGTGAATATATCTCTTATCATTTAATAACATGAAAGTAAATTTGTATATTAATAGAATGGGCATATTTATTTTTACATAAAACACAAAATCTTAGCTGAATATTTGATAGTGTAGCACATAGGGAATGTTTTTCAGATTGATAATTAATTATTTGATACTTTGGTTTTATAATTGTCAAATATGGAAAACATCACAAATAAAGGCAGAAATACACTTAGGGCCATTTCCTAAGTTGTTAAAATACTTTTCTTTATTGCTACCCAATAATCAATGAATGATTTTTTTAAATAAAATACAAGTAAGTAACTCAAGCAATTTTTTTATTGGTTTTTAGAGACAAGGCTTCTCTTTGTAACTTTAGAGCCTGTCTAACACTCACTCTGTAGACCAGGCTGACCTCAAACTCACAGGAATCCTGCTTCTGCCTCCCAAGTGCTGGGAATAAAATCGTGCAACACACAACCGGGCAATTCAAGCAATTTTTAAAGCTACACTATACTATACAATACAAAGATAAATTAATTTGGTATTTATATGTTGATGAATGACACCTGGGAAATAGAAAAGTCTGTTTTCCACAATTAAATCAGTATTTCCAAAAGAGCAGAAAACTCTTAGAATTTAGTAAAAGTATTTCAATTTGCAACAGTCAGCAAGTCTTGTGTGAGCTAAGGTGCTTCAAAGAGTTGGTATGTTAATTGCATGGCATGGCATGACATCACATGTATACACATGTTGCGTGATCAGTACAAAGTGGAGGTACAGTTAAATCACATGATACAAACATCGGTGAGTGATGCCAGTGATATAAAAATCAATGCACATATAAATCTGGATTTTTAATCACTGAGTTCAAAACCTTTACATGTTACCAGGTGGTTTTTGAATCTCAGTTATTGCAATCCAGTAAGGAATCAGGAAGCACAGACTAAAAATCTGTGTCCAACCACAAGACTTTGTGGGGATAATTTCATATTCAAATTGAAACACTCCGTCCCATCTCCCCTGGGTTTATGGCAATCTGATAATGCACCTAGTTCGATTTCAAAAGTCTCCAATCTCAAAGAAACTGCAGAAGGAAAATAAGAGCCCAAAAGAATTCAAAAGCATTTACAGACCTCAATAGAATCGTCATACATTTGAAAGCTTAAACTTAATACCAAAAGATTTCCATTAACATAGAAATGTGCATGGTGTTTTACCTGCTTACAACAGATCAACAATGAAAAACACCAATAAGCACACTACCATGTGTTTATTTCAGAAAACTGAGACTTTCTCAAGAACGTCAACAGGTCCTTCTCAAAGGACTGCTTAAGGGAGAACTGTCATCAGCTCTATACATCTTACTGTTCCTGAAAAGTTTCCATGACAGACAAGAAGGTGCAAGTTAACAGTTGTCATGACCTGGTTATTCTAGGTCTCAGTGTCTCAGCATTTAATCAGGGACAGCTACAAACACCAACCTCCTGCCTCAGTGTTCTAAATGATAACATTTTTTCACAAACAATTTTTTAAAAAAATATATACAATGCAAAAATTAAAGAATAAGCATACAAAGAAACAGTTTTTAAGCAATCGTAAATGGTTACATTTTAAACAGTGTTATTACAAGAATCCTAAGTATTAAATTTATACACGCTGTAAATGTTATAAGCTAATGTATTCTTTGGGAAAACATCAATATGCTACAAATGAAGCCTACAGTGTCTTTAGGCAAAGAACATACTACAAACAAAGTCTACAGTGTTGGTAAGAGTTACAGTAGATTAATGTGCCCAATGATTTTATATTCACCTAAAAGTCTCTGATGGAAGAAAATCTAGTCCTTAAAAACTCTGCTCTCAGTAAGTATTCTTCATTTGTAGAACATTTATTTTTATACCAAATCTTTCGATTCATAGTATTAATTGGCGCTACGACTAAAATATACAATGAAGCTACATTCCACAGACTAGAAGAGTCTTGAAGTTATACCACGTAGTTTAAGTGTACGGTAGGATACACTATGATTAGGAAATTGTCTAACAATTTATACCAGCAGTTATTTCTGCTGTTAAAAGTTTGTGTCTACACTTAGAAAACCTTCGCCTCAATGTTTTCCTGCAAAAGAAATAGAAATTCATTACCTAGGGACATTCCCATTTCTCTTGATGGCAGGACTGGGAATTACACTGGGAGACCAGTGCTTGGTCTCACTAAGTTGTGTGGACAGGTCCTGAACTTACTATCTCCTGCCTCGAAACCACAGTCCCCAAGAGTTCAGGCCTGCAATGTCAGGTGCTGCTGCAATTTTCTTTAAACACAAATCACTGGTAAACACCATAATTCACAAATTACACAGCTTTTCATTCATGCAATGACACTTTGAACATTGTTTGCTTCAGTATTTCAATACATATAAATCTGTAGAATCTTCTTCCAATCGGAGTTATTGCATGATTTTTAGCGTGGTTAAAATATAAGCTTTAATTTCCAAACTGCAGCAATTTCAATCCAATGTCTCTTTCTACAGAACTGCCTTCATGGTGCACTAGTTTATGCATTTGAGTGGATGTTTAAGAAATGAATATCATACTCCATTCATTCACAGGCTTTAACACCAGCTATTTTCATATCTTCAAATGGAATTGAAGATCGTAACAAATCTCTTAGAGTCACGGAATTTTCTCCAGTGAGTTCTCCCAAGCTATCCATAGCAAGCAAACAAACAAACAAAAAAAATCTAAAGCCTTTGCCATTTGTCTTATATTCATTAGACCTTTTCCCAGTACTTCCACTATTTGAAAAGACCTAGAAATTCTAAACATTCCTGCCTGTTTGTAGGCATTCATAAGGGTTTTCCCCTGCTTAGGTATGTGTTTTTCCATGTCTTCGAAGGGAACGGTAACATGTAAAGGCTTTACCACAGTCTTGGCATTCATAGGGTCTCTCTCCAGTGTGAGATCTTTCGTGAATTTGAAGTAAATACGGATAAATGAAGGACTTCCTACAGTGCTTACATTCATAGCGTTTTTCTCCATCATGAGCCATTTTATGTCTCTGAAGAGAACTATGACTTATCAAAGCTTTACCACACTGTTTACATTCATAGGGTTTTTCTCCTGTGTGAACTTTTTCATGCATTTGAAGAGAGCTGTGACTCCGGAAGGCTTTATCACACTGCTTACATGCGTAAGGCTTTTCACCAGTGTGAGTTCTTTCATGCATTTGAAGGAAACAGGGGTAAAGAAAGGCTTTACTACATATATTACATTTATAGAGCTTCTCTCCAGTATGAGACCTCTCGTGCATTTGAAGGTAGCAGGGATAAATGAAGGACTTCCCACACTGCTTACATTCATAGGGTTTCTCTCCAGCGTGAATTCTTTCATGTCTTCGGAGGGAACTTTGACTTCTGAAGGCCTTCCCACACTGCTTACATTCGTAGGGTTTTTCTCCAGTGTGTGTTCTTTCGTGTAACTGAAGAGAACTTGAACAGCTGAGAACTTTGCCACACAGTTTACACTCATAGAAACCACTATGAGTTTTTTCATGTATTCGAAGGTACCCAGCACTTTTGAAGGTCTTGCCACACTCTTCACACTCATAGGGTTTTTCACCGGTATGGGTTCGTTCGTGTGCCTGAAGGAGACTGTGACATCTGAAGGCTTTACCACACTGCGTACAGTCATAATGCTTTTCTCTACCATGGGCTCTTTCGTGTAACAGAAGGGAGCTGAGGCCTTTGAATGCCTTACCACACTGTCTACATTCATAGGGTTTTTCTCCACTATGGATTCTTTCGTGTCTTTGAAGAAAAGAGGGACAAATAAAGGCTTTACTGCATATCACACATTTATAGGGTTTTTCTGCGGTATGAGCCTTCTCGTGCTTTTCAAGTAAATACTGATAAATGAAGGACTTGCCGCATTGTTTACACCCGTAGGGTTTTCCTTCAGCATGAGTCTTTTCATGGACCTGAAGATTACTGAAGCGTCTAAAGGTTTTGCCACACTCTTTACAGCCATACGATCTATCCCCACTATGTGCTCTTTCGTGCGCGCGAAGGGAATTGGAAGAACTGAGGGTTTTGCCGCACTGTTTGCATCCGTAGAAACCACTATGGGTTTTTTCATGTATTCGAAGATTACTGAGACTTTTGAAGGCTTTACTACACTGTTGACAAGCGTAAGGTTTTTCGCCAGTGTGTGTCCTTTCATGCACTCGAAGTAAGCTATGGTATCTGAAGGCCTTGCCACACAGTTTACACTCATGGGGTTTTTCCCCAGTGTGAATGATCTCGTGGACCCGAAGACGACTGAGACCTCTGAAGGCCTTCCCACACTGCTTACACTCATAAGGCTTTTCTCCAGTGTGAGTTCGTTCATGCAGCTGAAGTGAACCGGAGCAACTCAGAGTCTTCCCGCACCGTTTACACTCATAGGGTCTTTCTTCAGTGTGCGTCCTCTCATGGACGCGAAGATAACTGAAGCCCCTGAAGGCCTTCCCACACTGCTTACACACGTAGGGCTTTTCTCCAGTGTGTGTTCTCTTGTGTAACTGCAGGGCACTGGAACAACTGAGAGTTTTGCCGCACTGTCTGCATTCATAGGGCTTTTCCTCGGTGTGGCTTCCTTCGTGGATCCGAAGGTAACTGAGACTTCTGAAGGCTTTGTCACACTGCTTACATTCATAGGGTTTCTCCCCAGTGTGCGTTCTTATATGGACTTGAAGCAAACATGGATAAATGAAGGACTTACCACACTGTTTACATTCGTAAGGTTTTCCTCCAACATGAGAAACCTTATGTCTTTGAAAGGAGCCTTGATCTTTAAAGTCTTTGCCACACTGTTTACACACATAGGGTTTTTCTTCACAGTGAGTCCTTTCGTGTCTTTGAAGGAAAGAGGAACACAGAAAGGCTTTACTACAGACCTTACATTTATAGGGTTTCTCTCCACTATGAGCTCGCTCATGTAGCTGAAGAGAACTCTGACCCCTGAAGGTTTTGCTGCACTGCTTGCATTGATAGGGCCTTTCCGCAGTGTGAATCCTTTCATGTCTTCGAAGAAAAGAGGGGCACAAGAAGGCTTTACCGCAAATGTTACATTTATATGGTTTCTCCCCACTGTGAGACCTCGCATGCAATCGAAGGGAGCTATGACCTCTGAAAGCCTTGCCGCATTGCTTACACTCATAGGGTTTTCCCCCTGTATGTGTTCTTTCATGTCTTTGAAGGAAAGAGGAACAACGAAAGGCTTTACTGCATATGCTACATTTGTAGGGTTTCTCTCCAGTATGAGATCTTTCGTGGGTTTGAAGTAAATAGGGATAAATGAAGGTCTTACCACACTGCTTACATTCATAGGGTTTCTTCCCAGCATGAGCTATTTTATGTCTCTGAAGGGAACTGTGACTTCGCAGCGCTTTCCCACAATGTTTACATTCATAGGGCTTTTCTCCAGTATGAGTTCTTTCGTGTACTCGAAGATTACTGAGCCCTCTAAAGGGCTTAGCACATTGCTTACATTTATACGGTTTTTCTCCTGTGTGAGTTCTCTTGTGTCTTTGCAGGAAAGAGGAACAAAGAAACGCTTTACTGCAGATCTTACATTTATAAGGTCTCTCTCCAGTATGATACCTTTCGTGCATTTTAAGTAAATAGGGATAAATGAATGACTTTCCACACTGTGTACATTCATAGGGTTTTTCTCCAGCGTGAATTATTTTCCGCCTTTGCAGGGAACTATAACCTTGGAACACTTGACCACACTGCCTACGCTCATATGATTTCCCCCCGGTGTGACTTATTTCATGTCTTTGCAGGGAATTTTGGCAACTGGAAGCTTTGCCAAATGGCATACAACCAGAATGGTTTTCTCCATTAGGAGTTCCGCTGGGAGACGGCAGGTAGTTGGAAGGACTCGGAGTGGCGGCACTTGGTTTAGATTCAGAGGGGTTTTCTTGGGTGTGAGTCCCTCCACGAATGCAAAATGAGCTGGGACCAATAAAGGCTGTGTCATATTGATGATGCTCACGGGGCTGTTCTCCACTGTGAATCTGCTGACACACTCCACGTGAACTCGGAGAACCATAGGATTCGGAATATACTTCACACTCGTAGGTTCCTCTCCCATTGTGGGCTCCCATGTATATGTGAATAGTTGCGAGAGAACTGGAGGTATATTGCTTCTTTCCATACTCCTCAAGCTCATGTGTGTATCCAGGGCGGGATGTGACGTTCCTATCAAAGGATGAACGAGACATGAAAACTTTCCCATACAAGTTACATGCACACGGTTTCACTCGAATTGAAATTTCTGGACTTCTATTGATATTCAATACCTTGGGGGTTTCTCAAAATGGGTTACCTTCTTTACTCCCCAAGACCAAAAGCTAGTATTTGACTTCTGTAAACACTGGCAGGCACATTACTAGGGGTTGCTTCACCGATGACTATTTAGTCATTAGTAGGCTTTGGATTTCCACTATTCCCTAAATCAGGGGAAGTGTATGTCTTCTGCAGAATCTAACCGTTCTCAAATTAAATGGATTAGGATTAAAAGCTCATACATGCACTTTCCTCAATACTGTTTACAAGCAAACTGCCTTTCAAATCTAAACAGCTTTCGTACATGGAATTACATTATGTCTGTGAAATTTTTCTAATGGTGAGTAATTTAAATTTGTGCTTGCCTTGCTACTTGCTCATAAATTTTCATAACACATTAAGATTTTCTCAAAATATATTTTCTCCCACTAATACATGTAATTTACCTTAGATTTCTCCCAGGATGTTTATAATGCTCTTCAATGGTCTGGTATTCTGATTTGATTCCTAAAATACAGACCCAGAAAAAATTTTCACAAATTATTACAAACCTCAAAGAAACTGTAAGTTTTCTAGGGTTAATGCACATTGTACCCATGCCTGATTTATTCACATTATTCTTCCCTTTCCACATTCCAAAGTAGAGAAAGAAGAAACACGTGTCTAACCGAGAAAGCTAAGGAACATCAGCATTCTTACCCACAGAAGCAAGGTTACTACAGGTTTCCAGCATCACATTGACATATAGGTTCTTCTGAATAGGATCCAGCAAAACCCACTCTTCCTGGGTGAAGTTCACAGCCACATCCTCAAAGGTCACTGAGTCCTAAAATATCCCATATGTGTGCGTAAGAAATGGGTGAAACTGACAGCGCTAGGATAACTAATAAGATGTGCACAAATTCCGCAGTCTCCAAATGTTTATGCAACGACAGAGGAGTTTCAATGCTATCACCGACATTCATGCAGGAAACGGTGAAGTGGGAACATTCTTCTCATGACCACATCCAGGGACTGGAGTATGCTACTGGGCCGCCTCAATTTCTCTTTCTAGAACGGAGTATAATGTACAAGATAGAATACAGTCAAGAGGTTGCTTTTCCTTGGAACTTCTTAGGCACAAATAGGAGTTTTACTGAAGAAAGTGTACAAACATAAATGGTAGTCACTAAGTAGTCACTCAGTCTAAATGACTCAGGGAAACATTTGGCATTTTCTGAACCCCTGTTAGCTTTCTGAACATTCAGTGAACAGCAATAATGGAAGAATCTATCCACACAACACGCTTAGGCTAACAAGTTGTCAAAACTTGTGAAGTGGGGAATTGCACCTGTGCTGTGACTCCAGCAAGGCAAACATTAAAATCCTGAAAGCAGTTTCCACTCAGTCAAATTTAATAAAGCAGCAAATGTGAAATAACCCATAGTGATCCCAAAAGAACAATTTTTAATATTTATACATATTAATAATTTCATATATAGTATGATGACTTGTCTAACAAAGATGAGGACATTTGAAATACATTACAGACACAAAGGGGCAAAAGTATAAGCAAATTTCCAAAATTTATCAAGCCACCATGTAGAATCTAATCTTTAGTAACCCAAAGTATAAATGGCCAGTCTGAAGGAAACCAACCTATCCTATAAATTTTACTACTCAACAAGATATCATCGTCTACACATCTGCCTATATACAGACTCTATAAGCTAAGACCAAGTCTCTTCTCCCTTGACTGTTTTTGAGACAGGGTCTTTCTATGTTGCCCTAGATCTCTCTATGTAGGCCAGGATGGCCTTGAACCCATGGAGTTCCTGTCTCTGCCTTCCTTTTGACTCTTACCAGTGGTATTTGTAACTGCTATTCCTAACCAACATAAAGTATCTGTCACCAACACAAAGCAATCAGATCGCTCATCACCCCACCACGTGGTAGTAGGGTTTCCCTCTGGAAAGGGAATAAGAGAGTGAAGTTAAGCTCTACTTAGACCAGCGGTTCTCAGCCTTCCTAACACTGCAACCCTTTTATACAGTTCTTCCTGCTGTTGTGACCCCAAACCAGAGAACTATCTTCCTAACTGTAATTTTGCTACTGTTACGAACTACAATGCAAACATTTTTGGATATTGCAACCCTTTTGTCAAAGAGGTTGCAACCCACAGGTTGAAAGCCACTGCCTTAAACAGTAAAAGCAGGGACTAATGTTGGATCATGAGCTAGTCACCTAGCACAGGAGACCTTTCCCCTAAATGGACAAATGAACAAGGGAGGATGAATATAGTTTAGGGATTCTTAACTGGTTCCTCTCCCAGTGCATTCAAAACTGATCAGTTACAATTAGAATTACTTAGGTTTGCATCCAATTCCTACTGTAAAGCCCATAAAGGACCACTGGGCACAGCACACACACACACACACACATGCACCCCTCCCACTCTTGGGCACAGCACTGGGCACAGCAACACACACACACACACACACACACACATCTCTCCCACTCTTAAGAGTTCTTTCTCATTTTTTTTTAATAAGTCTGCACTCACTTGTGTTCACTTCTTGTCCATGTTTTCTTATTCTTCTTAGTATAAGACAAGAACTCAGAAGTTTCGGGCTCTGCTTGGTTTTAGTGACCATTAGTTGCCTGCCATCCTAGCCCTCTGAGATAAGTGGCACCCTCAAAATATCTGCATCCGAATTATAAACAGGAAATCAACACAGAAAACCAATAACTGAAAAACTCAGTTCTTTAAAAACATCAATTAAATTAATAAGCCTATTCCAGGACAGTCAGTGCTACATAAAGAGACCCTGTCTCAAAGCAATTACAAAAACAGCAGGAAAATTTAACTAGCCGATAGCCAAACTAGGAAAAAAAGATGCAAAATTATCAATTAAAGAGTAGCTGCTGGAGAAGGACACAGTGGTAAACAGCACTCACAACTCCTGTAGCAGACCTAGGTTGGGTTTCCAACATCCTCATGGAAGCTCACAATTGCCAGTCATCCCAGTTCCAAGGAATCGGATGGCCTATTCTAAACTCCACGGGCCTCTGCACTCTCTTACACACACACACACACACACACACACACACACACACGTAAACACACACACAAACACACATACACACACAATAAACACGTTATACATTCTGGTCATCATTACCATGAAAATGAAAAGACCATGAAGAAACACAATGAATAATTTCATAACAAAAAAGTTAGTAACGTAGATGAAATGAATACATTCTTCAAAATGAACCTTCAACCATAAAAACACACACAGAGAAAAGTGGTATGACTAGGCCTATGTGTATCAAAGACAGGGAATCAGTAATGCATGATTATTTTAAAAAATGATAAACAAGACCCAAATGATCACATCCTTAAATTCCTCCAAACACGTAAGAACTGGAAATGTACAACTCTGTACAATGTTTTATAGAAAAGCTATCATCTCCTATTTAAACTGTGATTTAACCATTAACACAACATAAACACACACACACACAAGAGAAAAAGAAAAGAAAAATTACAGAAAGCACACACACACACACACACAAAAAAAAAAAAACATTAATAAAAACTAGCAATTTAAGCCCCAGGTCCTTCCACTCCCTGCCCCTCCACCTCCTCCTGAATCTATGTTTGATATGAACACAGGGTCATGGTCCAGTGCCCACTGACTCCAGGCCTAGAGCTGGAAACTGAGGAAGACAGATGCAGGGAAGATATCGGTTAGTTTAACTGCAGACCAGCATCCCATATCCATCCTGACCTTTGCACACTGCTGTCTTCTTTGAGTGTTGTCTGTTTGTACTGGAGAAAGATGTGGGAGTTTATCTTTTAATACAGAAATACACTTTACAATTCTAGGCATGCCCTGTGGCTGGTCTCCCTAGTTGTCAAAAACAAGGAAGTTTCCATTGCAAAATGGGGTTTCTGAAACAGAGGCTTCCTGAAAATACACGGATGGATACACAGAAAGCCCCCTCCCGGGAACTATATGAAAGGAAATGTAATCCGATAAACCATAAAATTAGAAATCTGGAAATTCCATAAAGATTCTGGCCTTAAAAAAAAAAAAGGAAAAACCTGGGGAATCAAGAAGACTATCCCATGGGAAGGGAATCTAGGAACAGAGTTAATCATTCCCAATCAGAAATAGGTCAGGATTACTGGTTATGCTTAGACACCCAGCTCCCGTACTACAGAGGGATAGGAACTAACCAAACTGTCAGCTCATCAACTGACAAAACTTATTGTGACTAGGTACAGCCCAAATTAACGTTAGGACTTATAAGAGGCTGAAACTTATCTAATGCTCAAACCTTTAAGCCAGTGACCTCCCCTTATTCTGATGCCAGTTATTCTGTCTAATGGGCTGCTAATTCATCTAGTTAACAGCAATATTATCAAGGCCCTGAGACCTTGTGGAGGTCTCTAATGGTTTGACTAAATGTCTCTTCTGATGCTTTCCAAACTAAGTAGACAGGCTGATCAGGATCTACAGGTATTAAAAGTTTTAATTTCTGAATTAAAACATTTAGATTCCGGGCTGGAGAGATGGCTCAGTGGTTGGGAGCGTTGCCTGCTTTTCCAAAGGTCCTGGGTTCGGTTCCCAGCAACCACATGGTGACTCACAACCATCTGTGAAGAGGTCTGGCGCCCTCTTCTGGCCGTCAGGCATACACACAGACAGAATATTGTATACATAATAAATAAGTATTTTAAAAAAAACCATTTAAATTCCCTGGCCAATAAGGTCCTACAAAATTGAAGAGGTTTAGATTTACTTTTGATGAGAGATAAAGGAAACTATTGTATGGCTTTTGGGGAAACCTGTTGTTTTTTGCTAATGGATCAAGAATAATTAGGAAAAGGAAAAACCTCAAAATAAGAAAAATTGATATTATAAATATAACTGATATCACAGTCTCTGCTCTCTCGGTTTCCCCTGGCTAAATACTCTATGAGCACTGGTGAGGCCTTTTATTCTTATTTTAATTGGATTAACATCAGGGACCTACATCTTAAGCTACATGGCCAAGTATGTGTCAGCTTAGTAGTTGGGACCAACTACACCTCTTTAGAGCACCCACAATTTCATTCATTCACTAAGACCAGGAGGAATGTAACAGACCCTCAGACCTTAGCACAACTGACTCCATGATGGAAGCACCATTTAGGCCATACAGCTCAGCACACAGACAGCACCACCTGCCAAAATGAAAACAAAGATCTAATCCATCAAAGTACACAGTTCTGGAAAAGTCTGTACATGTACTAAGCTTGCATTTTGGCTTCCGTAGTTTTGTTCTAGCTAACTGCTTTTGTTACCTGAAGTAGGTCAACCCAGAATATGGTTTTTATGTTTAAAAGCTCACTCTGCGAAAGGCTCAGTGGTACACTGAGAAACTGGCACCCATGTATTCACTGGCTGGCTAATAAAGACTTTCTATTTGCTTAAACCCATGTCTAAGCAGTCTTCTCTGATGGATATGCCCCAATACTATGGGCTTGGAGAGACTAATGGGTTAAGAGCCTTCGATGCTCTTGAAAATGATCTGGATTCATCCTCATGGAAGCCAGAAACTAACTCTAGTTCCAGGGGATCTGATGCACACACACACACACACACACACACACACACACACACACGCTCACACACGTATTCCTAGTATCAGGAAGCCTTGGGTTCCCTTCAAAGCACCACATAAAACCAGACAGGGTTGACACATACCTTTAACCTTTCACTCTTGAGGTGAGTGAGAGGAAAAAGATCAGAAGTTCAAGGCTACCCTCAGTTACACAGTGAGTTTGAGGCTAGACTTGAGTCATGAGTGTCTTTCTCAAAAAAAAAAAAAAAAAAAAAAAAGAAAGAAAGAAAAGAAAGAAAACTGTCAACACACTGAAACAGTAGGCTCACTTGTTACTATCATCTGCTTTTAAAACTACAATAAAAACAGACTATTTCTGGTGGGCATGATCAGGGAGGCAGAGACAGGATCCTGATCTACAAAGAAAGCTCCAGAGAGCCAGGACTCCATAGAAGCTCTATCTCAAAAACCAAAACAAACTTTCTATCTCGAAATAAACAGATGAGGAGAAAAGTCTGAAATAAATGTGCAAAAATACGGTCAACTGTATTTGACAAGGAAATTCAAAGGAATTCCTTTATTAACAGTGGGCTACCTTAATTTAACACCCATATGTAAAAATATTTAATGACAGACTTTATAACTCCACAAAATTAACTCTAAGTGCACCCTAAACCTAAATATGAAATGTGAAGTACAGAACCTCTTACAGATAACTCAGAGAAGCTAGATACCCTAACACATAGACACCTCCTGAGGGCCTGCACCAAAGTGAAGTCACCGACAAGGATGGCGAGCGGGGCGGAGCCTCCCAGCACGGTGCTCAGCGCTCTACGCAGACGCAGCCCGAGGGGCGGAGCCGACCAGAGCCTGGGGTCCCAGGACACAGCTCCCACCCCTTGCGCGAGGAGGACCCGTCACGGGGGCTCCGGTGCTCAGCCGGCCGCTCCTCCCCGTCTGGGGACAGTGGTCCCTCGCTCACCATGACCGGCTTCTGTGTTCGCTGGTCCTCTCCTCACAGCTCCTGGCAGCGGCGCTCACAGCGCAGCCCACGCAGCGCCTCAATAACCTAAAAGCGGAACCGCTGCATGGCGGCCAAGAATCCGGCTCTCGCTGTCCAGCAGCGCCCCTTATTGGACAGCCTGTGTGGCTGCTCTGATTGGCTAATGAGACCTGAGTGACAGAAGGGAGCCAGCGACACAGGCAGCCACTACCCCAAAAGCTCAGACTTGCAGAAGCTCTGAGTAGGTTTGGGTTTTAGAATGTGCTCCTGCCCTCCAGAGCGGCCCTGCTGTCTTCTTATAGTCCGTAGGCACAGGGTCGTTCACATGCACTGTCCCACGACACAATGACCAATGAAGGGATCGCCTTCCTCACAGCGGGAATTTTTATACATAGTTAATTTCATTTTTAATTACATGTATTTAATTAAAATAAAAATGTGGGAGAAGCATATGTGTGCCACAGCGTGAGTCAAGAGGGCAATTGGCTAGATTTGGCTGGCCCCTTTTCCCATATGGTTCCCAGGTATTGAACTCAGTTCATAGGGCTTAGCAGCAAGTGCCTTACTAGCGGAGCCATTTCGCTTTCCCAAACATTGCTTTTTAAAAAAGAAAACATTAAGCGTACCTATTAATGACTTAAAAAGGGCGTGGGGTGGGCAGAAACTGCCAAATTTAGAAATGAATGTCTAGCTGAGTCCTGTAATTCCAGTACTTGGGAGGTTAAGGCAGGAACATAAGAAGTTCAAGGTCTAGTAAGGCTACAAACTGGGTTCAAAGCCAATCTAGGCAATTTAGTGATACCCTGTCTCAAAACAGAAACACAGAAAAATGCAATGCTTCTGTAGCATGGTTAAGACCGCATGTTGCATCTGCGGTACCCACTGTTGTAATTTAGAGAAAGCAGAGTAAGAGAGAAAGAGGCCATGCGACAAAGCTCAGGTGGAGGGGGTTCTTACTGGGAGAAAGTGAATGGGAAAAGGGAAAGGGGAGTGGGGAAACCGACTTCTGGGGACAGAAGAGAGGAGAGGAGAGGAGAGGAGAGGAGAGGAGAGGAGAGGAGAGGAGAGGAGAGGAGAGGAGAGGAGAGGAGAGGGAGAGAGGGAGGGATGAGAGGTGGGAAGGGCCCTTAAAAGGGAACATAATGAATGTGCACAGGTGGTACTCTTAGTGGCTAAGGCTGAGGATATATACCCCAAGGTCGGGCCAGTACAGATACCTGAATATTAACACCCACCTCAAAACTGAAGGCAAACTAACTACAGAAATAGGTAGATTAAGGGCTGGGAAGAGTGGACGCTGCTCTTCCAGAGTACCCTTGTTCTCCCAAACACACACATCAGATAGCTCACAACCATCTGTATCTTCAACTCCAGGGGAGCCGATGCCCAAAAGCTAGACTTGCTTTTGCAGAAGAAGTAAAATGAAATCAAACAGACACACCTCTAGCAGTACTGTACCAGTCACTGAGAGATAAGAATTTGGTTTCCAGCCTACAATTCACAACCCCAGAGAACCTAGACAACAAAGAGAACCCTAAGAGAGATATACATGGATCTAACCTACATGGGAAGTAGAAAAAGACAAGATCTTCTGAGTAAATTGGGAGCATGGGGATCATGGGAGAGGGTTGAAGGGGATGGGACTGGAAGGGAGAGGCGTGGAGAAAAATATATAACTCAATGAAAACAATATCATTTGTTTGTTTCTTGTGACTGGAGAGATAAGATAGCTCAGCAATTAAAAGAGCACTTTCTGCCCTTGAAGAGGATCCGGGTTAGGCTCCCATCATCCATGTGGCCAAAGGCACTGCGTACCTATGGTTTACATATACACATGTGGGTACCGGCACATACACATTTAAAAAATATAATCCTAAAAAAACTTTTAATTCTTTAAATACTTTGAACTGGGCTCCTATCTGGGCTGCACTGAACAGAGAAACATGTGAATTAAAAGTTCAACAAAAGGGCAAATATACAAAAAAAAACTCTTATAAGATTAGTTTGCCTTTATATAGCAAATCAAAAGAAGCAAGCTGGTTAGGGGAATAGCACAGTTGGTAGAATGCTCACGTGGCGTGTGTGAGGCCCTGTGTTTATCCCCAGCACCATATGAAGTCAGGCTTCATGGTACATCCTGTAACCCAAGCCTTGAGAGTTAGAGGCCGGTGGATTAAACTTGTATCCTCAGCTACATGGCAACATGCAGTCAGTCTAGAATACAGCCTCTATCTCAACCAACCAACCAATCAACCAATCAATATGCTGAAATGAAGTTACTGACATTCTTTTCCCAACAAATTCCATAAGATGACCAGAAGCTATGAAACCATGTTAGAAGCTCTTTACCCCACGGTAAGGCTGTTTGAATTTTTGAGACAATGGTTCCCTGCATACCCAGGCTGACATCACCCACGTAACCCTCCTGCCTCTGCTTTCTGAGCACTGGGATTGCAGGACCGCACATCACCCGGGGCCTTTTATGGGAAACTTAAACCTAGACTGGCTCTCAACAGCTTGAATCCATATTTACAAATTTGCTGAGTCACTGAAAATGTAGCTGCGGCCAAGTACTCAGGAGCTGCAGAGATCTCAAGGTCATCTGTGCACAGGTACATTTTTTTTTTTTAATAAAGAGTTGCCTGAAGATTGTGTGCCAGAGTTGGAGGGGGAAAGGGACACTGCTGTTTTATCTCAACTGCCATCAGACTAATATCAGGTAAATGAAGCTGGGCTTGATGGCAAGGAACTGTCACCCTGGAACTTCAAAGGCTGAGGCAGGAGGATTGTGGGTTCCAGATGGCCTGAACTATGGAGACCCTGCCTAAAAAAAAAAAGAAAACAAAAAAGAAACAAGAAGAACAAAACACTCTAAAATAGAAAAGGCTAGAGCTATGGAAATACTCTAAAGCAAAACTGTTCAAACGTCTCATAGGACCCAATACTTCAACTAGCACTTAATAAACACTTGATGCATGTCTACAGAAATTAAATTTTAAGTGTCAGAAAGTTAAACATTTTAAATTTACTCTACAGGAGTCTGAAGGCATGACGGAATGTGTTGGAATCAGCAGTGATGGCGGCATGATATAGTATCAACAGTGAACACAACAGTTTAAGATACTACGCATGAATTTTACCCTAAACGGCAAAATAGCTGTAATGAATTTCAGTGACATTACAATTGTCCCAGTGAAACTGTGTCCCAGTGAACATCAACTTGGCAGGTAAAAGCACTTTTTCCCACCAAGCTTTTACTTGAGTTTGAGCCCCAGGTTCCCATATGTTTGAAGGAAAAAAAAATCAATTCCTGCTAGCTGTTCTCTCTCTCTCTCTCTCTCTCTCTCTCTCTCTCTCTCTCTCTCTCTCTCTCTCTCTTT